GATCCAGAGCTCCCATGTGTCCAGGTTCCGGTACTACCAGGTCCAGAGCTCCCAGGGTTTCGGTTTCCAGTACTTCCAGGTCCAGTGCTCCCCGGGTTCCAGCTTCCAGCACCGCTAGGGTTCCTGGGGCTTTCCGTCTCTGATCCTGTTCCATGAGAGGTGGAGTGTCCTCCTGCAATCTCATTTCCACCAGGTCTCTCTAACTCCATTCTCATCTGCTGCATTTCTGTTAATGCCCTCCACTCTGGGGGCGCCTTTTCAAGCTGGCTTTTGAAATGTCCGGGAACCAAGTCTGGAACTGCTTTCATTTTCATTAGTGGTAAGTGTTGCCTGTCTCTAGAGGGAAGTAAGTCTTTGGCAATGACCTGTTCAAGTTGCTTCTGCTGATCTTCGTAGTCCTTCAGATCTATTTCACGAGCTAAAGCCCTACTGCAGGATCCTCTACAAGATCGGATCTTAATGTCAATGTCCACCTAGAAAGAGGAGAGAAAAATAAAGAGAAAGGGTAGATACAAATACATGAACTATGTCTATTGAGTTCCTGGTAGTTTTAATTTTCCTTCTGGAAACTGGTTTCATTTCTTTGACTTGGAGACCTACCGCTTAATATTCTCTGCTTTCTGGTATTCTACCATCCTCAGTGGAAGAGATGTTGGGTATTGCAAGGCTAGCTGGGATAAGCAATGGGTGCTATTTGATTCATCTTAGCCTCAGAATGGATCAAGAGTAAGGTACTATTCCCTCTCAAAGGAAACACTGATTAAATGATTCTTGGTGAAACTCAGGCTGAAGGCTCAGAGGAATGGTGATGTAATGGGCTTTGGAATTATACAAGGATTGTACATTTGGTTTTGAAATTTACTATCTATGTACTCTTGGAAAATGTACTTAATGTCTCTGAATTTTTTCTTCAACTATAGAGTGGGGAAAATAATACCTACTTTTGGGTAGATAATGGATATAACACTTTTGAGTAGTTATACTCAATGTATAACTGCCTTCCTTTTCCCTGCTATTCAAAAACAAGGAAATCTGGGGGCAGAGCCACCAACTTACCTCCAGTCGTTTCATATCAATCAGCTGAGCCCTAACATTGTTCTGCAGAAGCTGGATCTGCTGTACTTTTTCTATGACTTTGCGCTTCAGGACTTCAATTCTGCTTCTCAGATCTTCTGACACTCGGTTATAGGTATTATCACGGTCTGAAACAGAAAATACGGTTATTGAAGTAGCTGCTGAGTGATTTGCCTGTAATTGCCAGCAAGTAAGCAAGAGAGGGAGGGAAGCGGGGGTGGGGGGTGGGGAGAGAGAGAGAGAGAGACAAAGAGAGAGAAAGATGAAAGAAAGAGAAAGAGAGTGAAAGAGAGAAAGAAAAAGAAAGAGAAAAAGAAGTAAGAAAGAAAGAAAAAGAAAGAAAGGAAGAAAAGAGGGAAGGAGGGAAGGAGCAAAGGAGGGAGGGAGGGGGAGGAGAGAGGGAGAAGGAAGAAAGAAGGAAGAAAACTCGCTTGTAAATATTCCCAATTTTATTGTGGTTATAGTTTAATCTGTGAGTTCAAAACCTATGAGGCATTTGACTTTTGGATAATGTTATGCCCTGTAGTCATCCACGAATTCCAGTTAAGATGTCCTAATAGCAACTCATAATCCCAAATAAATATAAAAGAAGAAATTTCTTTGGAATTTTAAAGGTGTAATTTGGAGTTAAAATAATTGGTTTGATTGCATTCCAATTACCTTATAATATCCTTAATCAAAGGACTTGAACATATTGGATTTTCTGACTAAAGTGGAAATTTTGCCCAGGATTTTGTCAGCACGTTGTCAGTAACCATCCCATCCCTATTTTTGAAACTGACCTTATTTTTGTTAGAAACTGCCTCTTTCTGCTTCTGTGCCTCAGCTTTTTGCTTACTAACTGGAAAATCTTAAGAGAAACTGCCTTGTTGCCTAAAACCTGCTGCATTGTCTAAAGTCCTAAGTTACTACCCCTGCCCCTTTACCTATAAAAACTGTATACTTTTCTGAGCTGGGGTCCAGACTTTTGGGTGTGAACCCTTCTTGGCCCGCCAGCGTAATAAAGTGTGTTCCTCTATCCCCTGAGTGCCACTTGGGTTTCTTGTTGGGTAAGATTTTCCAGAACATTACTGATGAGTTTTTCTTTTTATCTACAGATTTGAAATTGTTCCTAAGCTTTTTTTGGGTCAACAGGATCACTCACTTGCCTGCTAGTGTTTCATCACTGATTTTAAATGTTAAGTGTTTATGAGGGTGTGAAGAGGCAAAGCAAAACTTCGGAAACTGAGGTCTCTCCAGACTCACTGCCCATGCCCAGAAGGAATGCAACGTTTCCTAACCCTAATGAGTAGACTATGAGAACGATATAGCTCGACTCTGTATTTTAAACTAAAAAATCTACCTAATCAGCTCAGCAGAGTCTGGGGTTGAACTCCCAGTTCTCTGTCTTTGAGCGAGTTCTTTGACCTCTCAGTATTCTCCTCTGCGAGGCAGAAACAAAAGTATCAACTCCAAGAGTCTGGCCCATTCTACTTTCAGTAGATACTGTTGAAAAGAACACACTTAAATTCTTGTTTTTAATCCAAAATTCTGATTTATTTTGTCACCTTAAACAATCTCAGTTAACGTCTTTTACTTTGAAAAAATAACGAAAACAAAAGCTCCCCCTTAAAATTTTCAGTGATATTATGAAGGCATGTGTTTCTGTACTAAGTAGTTTGAGATGAAATTGTCATAGTTATGAGCAGACATCATATTCATTTAGCATTTTTGTTGTTTCTGTTATAAAGTCAAAGCAATGAGTATGTAATACTTACTATTGGCTGCAGCAAAATCGCCTCTCAAAATTTCCATTATATTTCTGGTCAATGAATTAGAATCCTTATTGTTCTTCTGATATTCAAATAGTGAATTTCTAAGCTTATTTATTCTGTTTGTAAAATCTTGATTGACTTCATCAATTAACCCTTTCATCCTGCAGCCAGAAGGGCATCTGTAGTTCTGAAAGTGAAGGGGGAAAATTATAGTAAGGGTCTATCTCTTGGATCAGAATAATTTTGCATGTTTCCATGCAGCCCCCATTTATTCCTACCCTATCTCTTCCAGATCAGTTGGCTTAAAAGTAGGAAGGGGACTAGTTAGAGGTAGTAGAGAAATTGTGGCATGAGGGTCCACTTAGCCATAAATTAGGTGCCAGGAAATTGAGGCCACAATACTCAGGTGCCAAGTATTGCCTCAGCATGCAACTAAAATCCAATCTATTCCCCCACTAATGATCCAGAGTTGGAGAGGTAATTAAACAGTGATCTTGGGACTAGGTTTCTTCTCTTTCTTTGGTATGTAAGGAGTTATTCAATTATTTTCTATTAAAAAAAGTTTCTGGGACCAATTGGGTCAGCATGTGACCCCCCTCTAGCATCACAGGGAAGGAATCTCCTGCATCCCAGCTCACTGCTTACCCAGTCTTCATCAGAGCAGAAGGGCCAGTCTGAATCTCTGCAGACAGATTGTTGTTTTTCCACAACCCTTGGGCCACGCACTCCTCCTCCTGCAGCTAGAAAGTCATCTTCACCAGTATCTGTAGTCTTTAAAGATTCATTCACATACACAAAAGAGAGCAACAGCAATGTTAGCCAGAAGAGGAGACACCGGCATGCCTACAAGTCCCAAGGAAGAGATGGCAGCTCTCACAGAGATCAAGGCACCAGCCGCAGGGCGTCTGCAAGCTTCAGGTTTCTTATCTTCAAATGGAAATCCTAAGACCCCTTGTATAGAGTTGTTACAAGAATTAAAGGAGGTGAGGTGTACAAATCTCTTAACTGTGTATGACACTAAATAAGCATTTGATAAATATTAGGAGTTTAAAAAGATCCATTCTAAAAGGAAAGTTATTTGAATCCATAAAATCAGTTAAATTTTAGCTTTTCAGTTTTACAAATGACTGCAGACAGAAAGAAAATTGAAAGCTGTAGAGCTCTTTCTCCTGTAATTCTTACTGCTTCAGTAGAAAGAACCCACGCCATCTTAACCTAATGTTCCTCTCTCTTTCAAATTTCTATGTAGCCTTTAGAGATGAATTCATAATTCAAAAGACTACCATTGCTTCCAAAAAGCATATTGCCTTACTAATCTCCTCTGATACTGCAAAGATGTTTCCAAAGAGCATTCATTTGCTTTTTCTTTTGTCTTGACAAACACAAAAACAGCCTATCAGCAAAACTGTACTAAAACTAAAAGTTCTGCTTATTATAGCAAGAACTTAATAATTAGCAAATAGCAAGAAATTAATAATTAAAGAAAAAAATCTTACCATAGAATGTTTTATTGTATTAACTAGCGTTATAATGCTCCAAGGCTTTATAGCTACAAAGATGGCAAAGAATTCTTGCCCTTTTTAAAACAAAACAGAACAAAATGTGGTGAGACTGCACGACAAATGCTAAAGTTTCCCTTGTGAGTTTGTACACACTCATGCGTCTAAGATCTTCCTCTTGGAGCCATATTTCCCTGTATTCTTGAGGTGCCAAGCCCATCCAGGATCTTGCCTCTCAGCCTGGAGTAAATAAAGCTAAAAGTGTGTCGGGACAGAACAGGTAGACTCAGACCTCCAAGCTCTTCATGGAATAAAATCAGAGAGAAAGAAAGAAGAGAAAATGAAAGGGACCATACCCATGCTGTGCCCACCACACTTAGGACCAGGCAGACGATTCTCATGGAAAACATATTTTCTAAGGGTGACGCTGGCTCATGAGGAGCACTCCAGCTGAAAGAAAGGATTGCCTCCACTCCGGGTGTCCATCCTATTTAAACCTGCAGGAGATTTGGTTAATCATTGGCTTTGTCCTGTGTCAAAAATCAACTGTCCGTCTACATGCTTTGTTCCTCCTGTGCTGTTGGTGTCCCAGAAATTCTTGCTCAATTCCCCTCAGCTTGTTTGCTTCCGATAATCTGTTGCAAAGGCAGCATTTGATTCTCCAGCCAGCAATCAGGAGAAGATCTCACATTCCAGGAACAGGAAGGCTTTGAGGGCTAAAAGAGGAGCGTAGGAGGGTATATCCATATTTCTATACTTGAAAGGATATAGAAGGTGCTTAGGTAAGCGAGCTGTAGCCCCCTGTAGTAGTGATTTAGCAAACAATATTTCACTTTTGCAGGAATTAGGGTTGGGTGATCTGGCTAAAATATGACTTTGGTGATAAGCTGGCCCTGAAGGCCTTCTATAAGCATATGTAGGACAGGTTACCTTTCTCTTTCCAAAATATTAAGATGACAACAGCCCCAGGAGCCAAACATCTTAGGTTCATAATCCCAGCTGCACTACTTCCCAGCTCTATATTCTTGGACAAGGTATTTTACCTCTTTATACCTCAGTTTCCTCATTTATAAAATAAGGATGCTGATACTACTCCATGTTTTTGTGAAGAATAAATGAGTTAATTCTTGTAAATCCCTCAGAACAGTGACTGTCAGTGACTGTCACATAGGAAGTTAATTATGGGAGAGCATAAAGTGCCATGAAAAATACTATTTCTTTCCTATTTCTGTGCCAGCAATCTCACTCCTGAGTATATTTCCAAAGGAAATCATACAGGATCTTGAAGAGATACCTGTACTCCCATGTACATCACAGCATTATTGACAATAGCTGAGATATGAAAACCACCTAAGTGTCCATTGATAGATTAGTAGATAAAATGTGATGTACATATACACAATGGAGTATTACTCAGCCTTGAAAAAGAAGGGAATTCTGTCATTTGCAGTAACATAGATGAACCTAGAGGACATTATCCTAAGTGAAATGAGCAGATACAGAAAGACAAATACTGCTTAGCCAGGCATGGTGGCAGGCACCTGTAATCTGAGCTACTTGGGGGCCTGAAGCCAGGAGAATCACTTGAACACGGGAAGCAGAGGTTGCAGTGAGCTTAGATTGCACCATTGCACTCCAGCCTGGGTCACGAGACTCCAGAAAGAAAGAAAGAGAGAGAGAGAGAGAGAGAGAAAGAAGAAGAAAGAAAGAAAAAAAGAAAGAAAAGAAAGAAAGAGAAAGAAAGAAAGAAAAGAAAGAGAGAAAAAGAAAGAAAGAAAGAAAGAAGGAAAGAAAGAAAGAAAGAAAGAGAGAGAGAGGAAGGAAGGAAGGAAGGAAGGAAGGAAGGAAGGAAGGAGAAAGAAAATTGAAGGAAGAAAGGGAAAGAAAGAATACTGCATGATTTTTCTTGCATGTGAAACCTAAAATAGTCAAACTCACAGAAGAGAGTAGAATGGTGGTTGCTGGGGCTGAGGCATAGGATAAATGGGGACATGTCGCTCAAAGGGCACAAAGTTTCTGTTATGTGATATAAATAAGTTCTGGAGTTCTTATGTGCAGCATGGTGACTACAGTTAATAATACTATGCTGTATATTTGAAATTTGCTAAAAAGGTAGATCTTAAGTCTTCTCAGCACACAAAAAAAGTAACTATATGAGGTGTTTTATGTGCTAATTAGATTAATTGTGGTAATCATTTCACAATATATATGTGTATCAAAACACCAATCAGAGAGAAGTTCCCCTTTAAAGGAAAAAAAAAAAAGAACAAACATCAAGCTGTGTAACCTAAATTATACAATTTTTACTTTTCGATTATACTTCAATAAAAGTAAGGCCGGGCGCGGTGGCTCAAGCCTGTAATCCCAGCACTTTGGGAGGCCGAGGCGGGTGGATCACGAGGTCAAGAGATCGAGACCAT